GTCAGGTTTTTATTAAGGGACACCATGGGGCTGAGTGCATATGCAGATAGTTGGTTGGGGAATACGGGAAAAGTTAGTGGGGTGGATTGGTGAGGTTCTTGGGAAGGTATGTGAGTATGTGCCGTTGAAAAACTTTGGAGGAGTGATCGGGAGGCACTGGGTGGGGTCATTGAGGAGGGGGAGGTAAATTATGGAGAGCCCTTATGGACATGTGGATGGGTAAGGCACCGGGTTCGATGGTTTACCTAGCGAATTTTATGTACAGCATGGGGTCTGCTTAGGGGTTTCCTAGTAAGGTGGTTTTATGAATGCAATGAAAGACGGAGGTAAGATGGGGAATCTCTGGCAACGGCGGTGGTTGGTGTTGGTCCCAAAGGGGTAAACAGCAGCAGATGTACCCTTCGGGATTTAATCGAGCCATTTATTGCTTTGTGCTGATTATAAATTATTTGCGAAAAATTCTTGGCGATCGGCTTAATGTGTGAGGGGGGAGGGTCGTGTTTTGAGTCTCAGTTTGGTTACCTGGTAGTCAATGGCGTGGGCAACCGGGGATTATCAAGGGGTTCCTGGAGGACATGGAAGGAAAGAGGAGCGTGGTTGGCGTGTGGATTGGCAAGGGCTTATGATTGGGGGTGGAAGATAAGAAAAGGCTCTTTGGAGGGATATTCTCCTAACGACAGGGGTTTGGCGAAGAAATAGTGGGGTGGGTGGATACGTTGTACTCAACGGAAGGTAAGGGTGCAAATCAATGGGTGTGTGGGGGGGGGGAAGTCAACATGGAGCGGGTGTTTCGGCAGGGATTGTCCTTTATCACAAATATTGTTTGCATGTGTTCAGGGATCCCTTTTTAGGATGGTGGAAGGATCGTCTAAGGCGGGGGGGGGGGGGGGGGAATGGTGAGCTGAAGCCGTGGCCTGGTTTGGTGGGGCTATGTTGATGATTGATACCACTATTTTGGCATGTGTAGGAGGACACGGTTAGGATTTTGGGGGAAGGAAGTTTTGTACACTCTTTTGGAGGAGAGCTATGGGTTGAAGGTAAATCTGGAAATAGTCATTGATCATGGGGCTGGAGAGTGGAAAGTGAATTAGATTGGGGAGGAGTGATTGTTGTGCAGCGGAGGACGGGAGTCTGAAATCTGCGGGTTGTCATATATGATGGCTGACCTGAGGGCTACAAGGGGTAGCAATTCGAATAGGATGGTGGAAAAGGTGCAGCGACGGTTGGGAATGCTGCTCACCGACCTCACCAGTTTAACCCTTTTGGGCAACGTGTAATGGCATCAATGTATTACTATATAGTAAAGTCTGGTTTGTTTCGGCTGTGATGCCGTTAACAGGAACGGGGCGATCTCGTGTATTCTTGACTGGTGTTCAAATTTTTGTGGGGTTCAGGGTGCAACTGGTTGCGAAGGGAGGTAGTGACATGGCGGTATTGTAGGGGGAGGTTTGGGTTTGTTGGACTTGAGGAAAAGCGCGTCGTGAAATTGTGTGTTTATTAAGAGGGAAGTGATGAGTTCAGGTGGGATGGAGGGTGGGTCAGCTTTGATAAGGTACATGCTCACCATGAGGAAATGGTATGGAGGGGGCGGATATGAAGGAATGCGAGAACAGTGTACGCGCATTAGTTAGCCAGGGAAACCAGGGGAAAAAGTAAGGTGGGAACTTTGTGTAAATTGTTAGAGAGACATTGTAGTGGCGGCCGGTTGAAGGGATCTACCCCAATGTATGCATGGGATGTTTCTATGCGAAAGAATTAGTAAATTAAGGATAAGGACCTAGGGCGAGTTGAGGTTTTGTACCGTTTCCTGCATGGATTTTGCCAACGCGGAGCGAAGCTCCGAAGATAGGAGGGTTATTGAGGGTGGGGGGCGTGTGGCAGAAGAAGATGCTGTGGGGGAAGAGAATGCGTTATCATGTCGTCTATTTTTGTGAAGGTTTTGAGTGTGCATCAGGGTATGGATGCGTAAGGTAGTGGGTGAGGTGTGGGGGGGGGTAAGGTTGTTGTGGCGTTTTTTATTGCGAGCGTTTGAGTCTTGATATGGTGGTGTGGAGGAGAGGAGTGTGGGGTAAGTGGTTTAGCTTATGTCATCGCATGACTACATATATGTTTTATGGTGTTATGAGGGGGAAGGGTGGGTGGGGATGTGTGAGAAGGACTTTGGCGGCGACGTTTTATCGAATTTGTGTCGCAACAGAGACATTTTTGGGAAAAGGTGGGAAGAGTAATTTTTCTGAGGGGTTAGCGGACTAAACCAATAGGGAATTTATAGGCGTTTATAAGGGCTTTTTAACTGCCGGGTGTGTGTGGGTGGTTTAAAAGGGGGGGGGGGGAGTTTTCAGGGGATTTCAACGGGCCTCACTCCTTGGGATTGCAGTTGATGTGGTTGGGGTGTGATGGAGGTACTAGTGTGTGACCTGTTGAGAGGTTGTGCAAGATAAGTTTTGCTTTGTTCCCTTGAATGGGGAAGGTGTAAGGAGGCAGATTATAAATATAAATGTATTATGTATAACCTAATAATTTATATAACATGAATATTTCTTTGGTTAGAGTAATTATGTTCCACTTGCACTGGTATTGCAATTGAATTTGAATTTTCATGAGGGGTTATCCTTTCACATTTCCTTGAAGCACTGAGGAATTTTTGTTTTTTTTGTAAAAGTGGTCCGCATCAGTTTTTTGGTAGTAATTACCTTATTATTGTTCTATTTAAGGTTTTGTAATTTTGGTAGTCATGTACCATTCATGGTTGTAAATAATGTTTCCTCATAGTGACTTGTGTCATACATAATCCAAGTGAGGATAAATAATGTCATGATTATTCAGGGAGGTGATAGGGTTAGTTTCAAGGTGTGTGTGTGAGTGGGGGGGAGGGATGGTGGGTCACTGTGTTGCAGCACAGATTTCTAATAAGCATTATTGTAGGTTATGGTGTGGTATTTGTTGCGAGTGGTTATTATGGGTGATTGTCATTAAGCTTGGAGCATTATTGTGTTGAGGTTGTAATTTTAGGTGTTTTTTTATAGCCATTTAGTGGCCTTTGTTCTTTTTAAACCTTTATTTCCTTCTTCTTTAAATTGTGATGTTTATAAAAAAAATATGTATAGTGTAGCCTGTCAGATGTTGCCTGGATTGTCTTTGTGTTTATATATTGTTTTTACTGATTGTTTGGCCTTGATCATTTTTTTTATATATGTACCTATTAATATTTGTACATGAAGTTTTAAATAAAATATAAAAAAAAAAAGTTCATTTAACTTAATGAGAGGAATACTGACGTCACACTTGTTTAGACCTGTAGTAAGAGAAAGTACCATGCCCCATAGGAGGAGTTCATTTGAATGCTTACCCCCAGAGGGGGGAATCCAAAAAACTTTGATCCGAGGAGATGGAGTCTTTGTATTATCGAGAAAACTTGATCCATGGAGATGGAGTCTTTGTATTATCGAGAAAAGCTTGATCCAAGGAGATGGAGACTTTGATTTCGAGAAAAATTTGATCCGAGGAATTGCAGTCTTTGTATTATCGAGAAAACTTGATCCAAGGAGATGGAGACTTTGATTTCGAGAAAAATTTGATCCGAGGAATTGGAGTCTTTGATATCGAGAAAACTTGATCCGAGGAGATGGAGACTTTGATTTCGAGAAAACTTGATCCATGGAGATGGAGTCTTGGTATTATCGAAAAAAAAAACTTGATCCAAGGAGATCATAAGAAAATGAAATTGGGATGGGGGTGAAAGTGGGAGGGGGGAACCTCAAAAATTTGATCCGAGGAGAGCACAATAAAATGAAATTCAAAAAAAATTTGAAAAAAAATCGGAAAAAAATTCGGGGGCGCGGGGGCGATCCGGACGACGCTGCAGAAGGCGCAGCAGAAGGCGCGGGGCGGGGCGCGAGGGGCGCGAGGGGCGCGGGCGGGGCGCGAGGGCGCGGCAGGGCCGGTGGGTCGGCGCGACGGGCAGGGGGGGCGCGGGGGGCGCGGTTGGGGGCGCGGGGGGCGCGGGGGGGCGAGGGGGGGCGCGGGGGGCGCGGGTGGGGGGTCTAGGCGGGGGTCGTGGGCGGGGGTCGTGGGCGGGGTCGTGGGCGGGGGTCGTGGGCGGGGGTCGTGGGCGGGGTTAAGGTCATTTGCACATAGGTGTGAAAAGGTCATTAGCACATAGGTGTGAAAAAGGGATCGCTCAGCCGCAGCCCTTTCGGGAGGAGACCGGAAGTAAAAACCTAGGTGTTACTCCGAGCCATACAGCCGCCTCCAGTACTACTTATATAATATTTATATTTATATATATATATATATATAATATATATATATATATATATATATATATATATATATATATATATATAAAACATGCAGATCATTGTAACCATAAGGAAAGACGATCCTATTTCAACTTGGCAGAAAGTCAACAAACTTCATCTTCAACTTGAGTATTACCTTCAAGTTAGCCAACGCATGGTAAGTTCGTTATATGTGATCGCTGGTGCATCACTTGTTGCGATGGAACTCCATGAAGTCACTCGTCTAAATAACATGGTAAATAAAGTTGTAATTACAAGTAAAGTCGCTTGAACCTAGACGATAACTCACTACGTTTCTTTTATTTACTCACTGTTATTATTCGTACGGTAAATTAGGGTTTAATTTTGATTTAAAATTAGGCAATGTGAACTACGGTATAAGTTTTTTTATATATATATATATATATATATATATATTATATATATATATATATATATATATATATATATATTATATATATATAATATACACACACACACACACACACACATTAGCTGATAACCCATATGTCCGACAGTGAACCTTATGAATTTAGACAAAAGATGAGCAGTTGAGACCTTCGACCCTCTACAACCTAGTAAGATGTCAATAGATATCTGCTATCATTCACAGCCGACTACAATTATTTTTTATTTTGTATTTAATTAGTCATAAGCTAGTTAATATCATACATCACCTTAAATCTAGACGAAACTAACCTGTGGTTCTCTTCCAAGTGACTATGGGTGGAGGTGTGCCTTGAGCGTGACACTCTAGTGCCACTTCTTCCCCTCCTATGACCGCAACATCTTGAGGCTCCACCACCCACGACGGAGGAACTGACAAAAGACAAATAAAAATTTTAGTGGTAGACCACGTGGTGCTAATGAAGAGGAAGAAGAGGAAAGTTATTCTGTAATCACAGGGTTCCTCTTAGCGAGTCAAGTTTGTATATGTACTGCACAAATTGAAGGTAAACTGAAATATTACAATATTGTTTGATGACAGTTCACCTGTTGGCTTAAATGACTGTTACCGCAGCTGTAGACCTAGAAGATAGACAACACTGATGGAGGCCTACAACACTTAGAAGACAGCTTTTGACATAGATCATACACATCACGGACAAAATGGGTGTATAAATTGATCATAGAAACCTCAGCTGTATTCCTACAAAAGAGACACAACAGATAACCACAGATAACCAGTTGAAAACCCAGATGGAAAAAAAAGATGTAAGTCTTGAGCACAGACAATCTTGTGCAAACCTGAAGTGATTGTACTGACAACATAGCTAAGCACATCATTTTTCACAGAAGAAAAAAGATAATTGGGCTTGTGTACAGTGATCTGAGAAATATGATGAACAGAGGGATATAGAGAGAGTTAACTGAAGACTGTTGGAAACAAGATTTCAATGAAAACTGAGGAGATACAAGATATAATTGAATACTAATCGGGACATTACAGGAGACTGAGTGGAGAAAAGATATCAGTTATGCCTGAGGGTAATCAAAATATCACTGGAGTCCAAGGAGAGACTAGTTTTAACTGGTTTAATTTATTACTGATGGGAGACGAGATATCTTAGAGACTAAGGGGGCGACAAGATATTATGTAACACTAAACCGAGACAAGATATCATATAAGAATTAAGGGAGACAGGATATCACTTATGAGTGAGGGAAAGCTATGTATTTAATATGAATGAGGAGAGACAAGATATTTAAAACCGAGGGAGAAACAAGGTATCACTGGAGATCGAAATGCAGAATTAACATCACTGTAGATTGATGGGAGACAAGATATTGTAAAGTGAAGGGAGACAGGATATCACCGGAGACTGAGGAGAAAGAAGTTATCACTCGAGAATGCTCAAAGAAAAGATATCAGTTTAGAAAGACGGAAGACAAATATCGCCCAGTGACTTCGAGAAAAACATAGACATCACTGAAGATTCATGGAGTAATAAGAAATCACTGGAGAATCAGGAAAAAGAGATACCAGAGACTGAGTGAAAATAAGACAGCACCTACGAGTTAAAGGAAAGAAAATCATAAAGGTTTATAATAAAGAGTAGAACACTGAATAACAAATCAACGGCTATAGCACCGCAGAAAACAACGACAAAATGAAACGTGCGATACAGACCATGAAAAATAGAATGTAAATTAACGAATTTTTGTATCATCTCCATTAGTCACATTCTTACAAGAAAAGCGACAGAGGTGGCCAACTTGACCAAAAAATAGAAGAATGAGTCAGTTACCTCTTCCTCCATGTTGGCCGAGATAGTTGAAGGCAGCAGCAGAGTAAGAGGTGTGCAGGATGTACTCGCCGGCGTGTCTGCCGCGGATGTCAGCGAAATCCAGGTTATAGAAGAAACTGGCGAGTGTGTCTCAGTGAGCACGGGGTCACGAGGCAGGCCGGCCATCCACGCGGGACTCAGTCGAAGACTTAAGGCAGGTCCCCGCCTCAGTAGGACAAGCAACTACCAGTCGCATTCCTTCCTACCAACCTTCGCGGGAAACTTCATGATTCCGCCAGTACAGTGGGTTCTGAAGAAGTAATAATCAGTGGCATCACTGGGATGATTGTGTGTGAGACAATATGTAACGGAATATATATGGCCATATAAATACCTTTTAAACTGAATGGGAGTAGTACACAAGCATGAATATATAAATGCGAATGGATGACAATATACACAATTAGAAAAAAGGAAATGAGAAAAGAGTACGTTGGATTTATCATCATATGAATAGATCAAAAGCCATTATTAAATAAAGGATTAATTAAGGATATTTTTCTCGTTACGTAAATTATGATTAACGGTTGACTTTAAAGACAAAACGATGAGGGTAAACCTGTGAAATTGTAAGATGTGAGGTAATGGTGTCTTGCCAAAGCCAAGATGCGAGCATGCACTGAACATTAGTAACAAAAAGGTCCGTATAAATTCCAAGTTTGTACATACACTAGGTACCCACTCATTAGGTACAAGCCATTCGAGTACTGCGTACGAACTTTCCCTTCCAACAAGATCTGCCTGGAAATATCTGTGGCATGGATTCAACATGCAGATGCCATTTGAGTTTTCTTTATGTATGACAGATTTTCGTTGATATCATATACAAAGTTTTACTACACACACACTCACACACATACACAACACACACACACACCACACACTCGACACACACACACGCCACAAACACCACACACAAACACACACACACACACACAACAACAAACACACACACACAACACACACACACACACACACAACCCACACATCACACACAAAGGGGGGCACACCAATAAGCGATAACGCCAACAAGTACTGGATGAAGATACACACACCTACAACCGAGGAGGTGAAATAGGTGCTTTGTGAACTGATACTACAAAAGCGGTGGTGGAACACGGACAATATCTCTCCCTGGGACCATAGAAGGAGGGAGCAGAGATCTCCTAATCCATTTTCAACACATCCATTGAAACTGAGCAACTAACTGAGGTATGGAAGATCGCAAATTAGGTCCCCATTTTTAAGAAAGGAAACAGAACACCAAAAGGGCACTAAACTACAGACCAGTGTTATTTGATGTGATATTATGCAGAGACATGGAGAAGACTATCAGGAAGAGTGGTGGAGCCCTAGATGGAACAAGCGTCTAAGCGACAACCAGCATTGTTTTATGACATGGTACCGAATATAGGCAAGAGAGAGAGGGTTGGGTAGTGCATTCTCCATGGATGCAATAAGGCAATCGACACAATATTTACGTTGATTTTCCTCACAAAATATTAGTACAAAAGCTAGAGGATCAGGCACACATAAACTGGAAGTGCGCTGTCAATGGATCAGAGAATAACTTGATATGGAAGCAACAACAGTCATGGTATCTTGACGAGATTGTCAGAGTGGGCGTCTGTCGAGTAGGTGATTCCACAGGGTGTCAGTCCAAGAAAACCACTGCTATTTTTTGGTACATATGAATGACATACTGAACGATAGTCTCATAAGTGGTCCCCTATTTGGAGATGAAGTGAAGTTAATGCGTGAGAATTAAATCGTAAGAGGAACATGGAGGATCAAAAAGATACTGGATCAGGCTGAAAGACTGGTCCTGTGCCACTGGCTCCTCGAATTAATCATTTCAAATGCAAGGTAATGATGATGAGGAATGGGCAAAGAAGTCGTAGACAGAGTATAGACTGGTGGCCAAAGACAGCAAACCTCACACAATGAAAAGAATCTGGGTGAGTATAACAGCGAGCACAATCTCCTGAGCTCACATTAACTAGATAACTGCTGCAGCACATGGGTTGGCCTGTCAAACTGTCAATAGCATTCCGGTACCGTCAATAAAGGATCGTTCAAGACAGTACACCGTGTACATCGTATAAGGAGTATACAACCACCATTAGTTTGGAACCACAGTACCTGGTCACAAGCAGGCACAGGAAATTAGAAAAGTGCGAAGGTTGTCCCACAAGACTAGTTCCAGAGCTACGAGGATGTACAACGAAAAGGTTTAAGGAAATGACCTTACGACACTTGAGAAAATGGGTAGTGGGAGAAATGATAACGACATATCAAAATTACAGACTGCGATGAAATTGACAAATTGACAGTGACCCGAAGTTCCAGAGATGCACACAAGAAACCGAGGGTCACAACTGGAAGTTTGAGACACAGATGAGGTCAAAGGAAATTGTGATGTAGTCCAGCTGGGCTTTTTGAGGTCTCTGGGGAGACCTAATTTAACCAATTATATGGTCACACCTTGCCTTGGCAAAGTCTGTAGCCACCCCTCACGTCTGAGGCTTTTTTTTCTTGACGCCTCAGACCTAGGCGTCAGGTCGTACACGTGGTTGTGGAGGGTGCTTGGACCACCATAAAAGCCCAAGGAAGAGCTGAGTCAGAGGATTCGAGTGGAGCTGCTGCTGGGGTGCAGAGCTCCTGAGCAGAGACTTCGAGCGGAGCTGCTGCTGGGTGCAGGGCTCGGGAGAAGGCTGCTGAAGTCTCTGAGGGACTGTTGGAGGCACTGGCAGAGTACTGGCTTGGCACAGTACTCGTGCTGTGTAGGTCTTGGGACCTGTGGCTTAGGGGCCTGTTGATCGCTCCCTCAACGGTATGTAAGCTGGTTCTTTCAAGCGAGTGTTCCACTGCACGGTTGCTATTTACCACCTTTTATCTAACCCACATAATGGGTTCCCTGTTCCAATATGTTGTGTACGACTTAATAATAGACATGTTGAGGAGATGAGTCACAACTGGCCGCGGGGTTGACCCGTATTTTCTTATATTTATTATGTATTGTAAAGTAGTATTCGGTCAATGTTATTGTAGTTTGATTACTGCTTAGTACTATCACCATTTGATCTACATAGTAACTCCTGTCCCAATATTATATTTTACCAAGGACTTAATATAAACTGTGTTTGAGTGAATAGTAATATTCACTGTCCCCGTTATTTTCTTTTTCTTTTTTTTATTTGTTAAAGTAGTGAGAGGGCGAGTAGTGTGAGTGGGGGGTAGAGTTAAAGGTGAAGTTGTGTGGCACCAGTGACCTCTCATTTACCTACCTCGCTATCTCCACAACCTGCCTGCCTCTCCCTGCCTACATAAATCCTTTACTCCCATATTCCCCACTTTTTATCCTATTCAATCCGTTTACCCCCCTACATGACTTGGTGTCAAAGCGGTGGTGGTTCTTATTATTTTTATAGTAGGAACCAGTCCCATGTGCCTTTTATTTTTGACTGCTCGGTTATACTTATGCTACCATTTACTAATTTTGTGTTGTAAATCTAAAGTGATATTTAGTATTATACCTAGTGACCTTAACTGACCTTGTTTTTTTGAAGGTGGGTCTGAGTAATTGTTGGGTTGAAATTATTATATTTGGTGGAGTTGGTTGTTGGTTGAGAAAAAATGGTGGAGAATATCAGTATTTGGGTGAGACTTTTGGGGGAAGCAATTACTGGCCGAAATTGAATATTTTTCAGAGGAATGAGAAGTCACCCAGCCCGCCTTGGAAGACTAACCCACAACTGTCACCCATTGAAGAGTTGCCTATGATTGCTGTCCACCTGATGTGGGCCCAGTCACCCAGCTGATATGCCCCGTCACCCAGCTGATGTGCCCCAGTAGATGTATTGCTGCCCTGGTCTGTCATCCAGTGTAGTGGGTGTCTGTCTGCGTCACCCAGCCTCTGTGACCATTGCCTGCGGACCGCCAGTTACCCGCAGTTGCCAGGGATGGGTGACCGCACCTGCTGTTGATGACCTGAAGTGACCTCACCTCACCTCGAGCAACTGACCATAGAATGCTACTGCTGATGTCGGCTGCTGTGATGCTGCTGAGATGTTGTAGCGTGCTGCTATGCTGTGCCGTGCTGAGATGCTGTAGCCGTGCTGCAATGCTGTGGCCGTGCTGTGTTTCTGATGTGATGTTGATATGCTGCGACCGTGCTGTGATTGATGAGACGGTTGCGGCCGTGCATGTGAGCTGGGACCGTGCTGCGATCTGTAGCCGTGCTGCGATTGCTGTGGCCGTGCTATGCTGGCTGCTAGTTATAAACGGCCGTCTGTTGTGCTGCTGTGATAATCTGCCGACTGTGAATATGGATATGCTGTGTCCTGCTGGTTGATTCTGCTATGCTGCCATAGCACAAGAGGAGATGGCGGTGTGCTGAGCGAGAGGTGTGTTAGGGATTCTGCTGTGTGCGGTACAAGGAGAAATCTACTATGAAGAGTTGCCATCCTCGAGATGTGGAAGGACTTGAGCCGCGGAGATGGACTCCAGCTGCTGGACCAGCCTGCTTTCAAGGGCGGTTATGGGGTGAGTCCCTGCGTTGCTGGGTCGACCTTTATGCGACAGGTATGTCGGGGATCCCTGCCGGCCTTGAGAGACAATTAAGAGTGAGAGAATGTCCCCAGCCTACTTTTGACTTCCAGAATAGATAGTGTTACCTGTGTGGAAAATAAGGTGACCTTGAAAAACGTCCATTGATTTATGGCCGCCTTGTTTTTATGAGGCCAGTGAATCCTAGTAGTTGGCATAGGATAATGAGGGTCTTAGCTGCATGGCTGCCCTGTCTCGATTTCAGAAGTTGTAGTTTGCATGTGAAGTGGGCCGAAAAATGCGACCTTGGTGGTCTGAAGTGGTTTCCATTTAGCATTACATGAAAGAATGCACCCCCGTTTGTGGATCAGTTTTCCACGCCATAGAAGCCTAAGAGGTTTGCCCAATGTTTAACGTGCGAAGGG